GAACCAATAGGCGTTGATCATAACGTGAATAAAGGATTTAAAGAGTACTATCAGTATTATCCAGACAAAATAATTTTCAATTACACTTTTGCACGTCCATATTTTATGATGTATCAATGCTATGTAGTTTATTAAATCAATACGCTGACTTCCATTGAGGTTCTTTGCTTTTGATATTTGAATTAAGTTTTTGTTCATGAATTCCATTATAAAATGAAGCAAATCAATGTGTTACACAAAATAAAGCACAAACATGTCGTTGAAAAATTGCGTTATCAATAGGGCTGCATCTGTTGACCCTTTAACGAATGCTCAATAATATGAATATCTTTCCATTATAACGACGTTTAAATTGAGCATAACTGAGCACTATGCCGAATTGTTTTTCGATATCAATTTTTAAGTCGAATAACATGTTCAGTATATTTTTTACTTTGTTTACTTTGATAATATATTTGAAACAATGATGAAGATGTTTGGCAGTAATGAAACTGATGTCAAAATATGGGATAACCAATCACCCAATCTACTTTAGAAGAGAATCTATATTCTGAACTTGGAAGATAATATATAGAAAAACTTTCCAATAAAAAATGCACTATTAATGGAATCCATTTCAAATAATTCCATCTAAAACCATTTGGAGTACAGAGTGTTTGTGCTGTTGTAAAATACAGTAACAAATACTTGTTAAAAATGTGACCTTTCATGATGTGAGTCATCAAATACAATACTGAGAACAACGTAGAAAAAATTCACAACTCAACGTAGAAAGTACCGATTTGAACGAAATTAATTTGAGTGTTACAGTTATTTATTTATTCATATATAAATAGATATTTGTACTAGTTCAAAATGTTTTTGATTAAAAATGGATATGATTGGTTCAATTCAAAAAACTATCAAGGAAAAGAAAACTATGTAAAAATGTGTAAATACTATTTACGTAAATATTCATATATGTTGGCCCGTTTCGATACCATTCCGAAATATGTCACAATGGTCATATGAGTGAATGATTGGAGGAGGAAGGCTATTAAAGTCCATCCGAAGCGTGCGATAAATAGCTTTTTGAATTGCCACAATTTAAAATGTATGATTTTTACTTGAACCAATGTCTTTATCATGCTATTTTCATGTGGAACAATCATATAAATGCGCGGTTTGAATTTAAATTTTTTGACTAATTTATTGATCAATGAAAGAATACAATAAATAATATGAATGTACATAAATAAATTCAGCATTATGAATCCATTGTATACTGTGAGAATGATAAACCAAAAATCGGCTGATTTTGTCCATATTACGGATGAATAAAGAAGTTTGAACACTATTGTAAGCATGACATTTGCCATGACAATTGCAATACTGACATTTAAACATCTTGTGATATAATTTATGGGAAACTTTATTTGAAATGAATTTTCCACTGAAGTATTCAATTTATAAGTAATGTCCAAAATCATATGAGTTAACTTTAAATTGAATATATTTTCACAAAACGCGACCAAATTAACACCATAGTAACAGACAACACCTAATCCAGCTGTCATCACATGGAATTTTTTCTGATTTAACATCCATTGTGAATTGATAATGGAAACAATTATCACCGTGAGATAAACAAATAATGGTAGAATTTCCTTGAAGCGACGAATGCAACTGATTAATCTTATAGAATTAGATGGATAGATACTTAAACCAAGCAAATAAAACAGTATAAAATAAGGAGCAAGATGATTGTTCCACATGATTTGCAGGTATGAAACGAATTCAATTATTCTTTTCGATATGTTTCCCTTTTTATTCTTTTGATATTAATATTTAATACTATTCTTATTAATTATAGCAATAAGAGCGGATTTTAGGAAGAGAGTCTTCAAGTGTCTTCAAAAATATAGATATATTTTCTTCTTGTTTTATGTTGTACGCAGTGTGATTTATTTGAGTTGAATAAAATCTATTCAAATATTCATACATTCCAAAGATATTTCTATTTTGGATGTTCGAAAAAAAAAATCTAATTACTACAATAATTATACTGATGACTAACATGAAATGACATACATTAATCTACACAGTGTTTCTGTATGAGTCTAAAGAATGGACAAAAATAATTATTATTTGTGTCCTTGATTATCAATCCACATTCAACACTCTAGATAGGTGAAGAATTTTATCAAAGATATAAAAATTAAGGCTACACAACATAGAATCACAACACTTTGGCAGAATATTCCGTATTATTATTTGTACAATAAAAAACATTGACTCTTATCACGCTTAATTATTAAAATTATTAAAATTATTAACTAAATTGATATATTTAATTATAACGGCTAATGAATTAGCCAGATTTTTACTGATCATGTGCAAACTATTCGCTATAAGATGAATAAATTTTCAAATGGAACACTTGAGTGACAAAAATATTTACGGATAATTAAGAGTGGCACATCTTCATGAGATACAAAATACAGGAAAATCCCATAAGTTGCTTTCGTAACAGAAATGACTGATTCAAGCATAATTGAAGTAAGACTCCATCCATAATATGCATTGAAGATTCGCATCGCTTCCCATAGTTTCAAATGAATAAATCTGATTCGCAGAAAATAAGCTGCCAAATGTTTATCCATTCTTTTGCAGTCTGAATTTAAAATAATTTGCGGGATACTGAGTGGGCCACAAATTTTATTTGCGACTCCACTTCCAATCGACTCCAAAATAAAAGTAAACATTTTCACATAAAATAACACATGCACTGTTGCCAGCATTTTATACAGTTGTATTGTAAATATAGCGAGTTCAATTTTGGTATTATATTTCACATTTTTAACGAAAAATATTCGAATTGTATATTTACAAATTAGAATAAAAATACAAATCGAAAGATCTCGATAATATTCACATTTGAATTTTTCGATTCGAACATTTTCGTTTAGTTTCGCTTTTAAAAAATTGTACAAAATAAATATTTTATTATTCATTTCCCAAATATCAAAGTTTTTTTCGAATAAGTTCGTGTAAATAACAACGAACGTCGGAAATAAGCCGGTATATTTAAATATATAAAGGACCACGTTGTTATTGGTTTTAAGCGGATTGTGGTTGGAAGGCATCAAAATCAATGAACACATTATAATGATTCCAGTGAGAAATGCAAGTGTTAGACGCATTTGAAATTTTGATCGTATTTTATTCCGTTTTCGGAACGGAAAATAAGGGGCTTGCCCGAATAAAAAAAATAAAATATAAAAATATTTTAGATCACGGAAAACGGACATTTTAGTCAACTCACGAAACAATACTGTGAACAAGGATCAGGTTTATTGAAATTATGTAATTAATTACGTTGGATAAATTGTTCCATCAACATTTGATAGATAAGGTTTGATAATTACTAATATAAGATACACAAAGCTGATAATGAGAAAAAGTAAAGCGTGAAAACGCTACATGCTTGCAATGTTATAATATTCTTTATTCAATAACGAAGGTGCCACCTAAGATATTCCACACTCAAACTAAACTAACAACCCATTTTGTCACGTTTCAAATGATATTAATCAATTTGCACAAAAATACAGAAATTAAGGTTAGCGCTTGATTAAATTCATTTTGAATTTCGGTTACAATATTTTTATATGATGATCATAGGCAATCATTGGCTACCTACTTTGCCTGCTTATTGTCGATAAATGTTCTTATGTGCTTTAGCAAAAGTTGATTGAAGCTGATCATAAGCCGCCCAAATGCAAATATCCTGTGAAGCATAATGTATTTTTTATTAAGTTAACCAGTAGTTTGCACAAAAAATTCTTTGATTTTGTGTTGTGCTTCCGCAACAATAATATTATGGAATTTATACGAAAGAGTATTTTCTTTGATTACATTTGATTTGATTCGGACACCGTGTATTCACTTTAATAATGCAATATGTTGGTCTCTTCATTAAATATATTTCGTTCTCGTCTTAGGTTTTGGCAGCTGTACAGTACTGTCAATGGTTATTTGGAAGGAATAAAACGTCTGAAGAACTGCTCTAAATTAAATGATATAATTTTATTTTATTTTTTTACTAACAATAGTGAACACCAATTGATGATTTTGATGCAATATTTTGATCATACAATGGGAATTTCTCGTATTTTAAATAGTTTATAAGTGTTGGCGAGCTGATGATTCATGCCTTTTATCGATTCAAATCGAAACGATAAGAAATCTCATTTAATTTTACTTTTTTGTATCATGAATACCAATTTACTTTACAAAATGCTTCAATTGTCTTTTATGACACACCAAAATTGTGTTTTAAAAAGCACAACAAAAATAAGCGAGTAGCGTTCATTCAAATATTGTACAAATGAGTTCATTCGCATTATAAAAATTTCAGCTCGCGTTTACTTTCGGAACCATTGATATGCTCCATATATGCCATACACCCATAATACACATTGCCTGAATTTGTTTCTTTTTGTTCGGATTTCAAATCAATTGTATTACAAAATGTTTTTTGTACAGCGAATGCATAAGCGTGTAATTGACCAAATAAGTTAGAAGATAGATGAAAAATAAGCATTGAAATTTAAACCATTTTTATTGACCCTGTATTTCAATAACTATTTTTATGTTTAACGTCAAGAAAATATTTATTTTAAGCATATCATGATTCTGTGGTATTCAACGTGTGTGGCACCTCAACAAATATACTTCAGTATGCTGATATCATTCGAAATGGGCCAATGTCAGCGTTGCGATGTATCATACATATTTAATAGTTCAAAAAATGTTTTTGTCTCTTCATATTACTCACATTTATCGAATATTGCATCTTGAAATGAAAACAAAATGTGGTCATACATCGAATAATAATTTTTGTACAGCGTTTTTTCCATCATAAACGCAGTCATGCTTTTGAATGTTATCGTTTGTGATTGGGTATTACAAAATGTGTTACATCGTTTGGATTAAAGTATAAAAGGTGTGACTGATATGATATTTGATATCAGTTCACATTTGAATTTTAATCAATAAACATCATTTTTCAAAAATGATTAGCAAAATTTTGATTATTGCCGTGTTGTGTGTGAGTTACACTTTGGCTGAAGCACCAGTTAATCGGTATCGTTCCCAACGATTCCGCCAAGCACCACCGAGACAATACTCGCGACAATTTTCGCAACGTCAAGAATCACCATATCCACAATCACAAGGCAACGAACCGGCTGCTGAATATGGAGCACCAAAACCAACATATGGCCCACCCTCAACCAATCCACCACCGGTTTATGGAGCACCTGCCGCAGGCGATGTCGAACCAGTTGAAAATTCGGACTCAGAAGTTGTTGGACAACCTTCACGACTAACTCAGTTTAATGAAAAACTATCGTTACCATCGAATAGAGACCCTCAAAAATTCTCCCAAAAATTGGAACTCCAACAGCAAGTACAACAATTTCCAAGTCAACAAATTGTTACACCATTCGTTGCTGCTGCGCCCATTCAACCAGTCGTCGGTGCCCCAGTTCAATTCGCTCAAGCAATCCAACCAGAAGGATCATACTACATTCAATTGCCAAGCGGATCTATTCAACGTGTAAATTATTTGACTCAACCAAGTGTAGTGGATAATTCAGTGCTTGCAAAACTTCAATTCCGTCCAGTTGGTGGATTGCAAACAACTGTTGTTGAACCACAGCAACTATACGTGAACACCGTAGTACAATCACATGTCAGTTCAGATGAATAGAAATATGAAGCTATATAGCCATTATAATTGTTCAGTATTTCGAATCATATTGTGAGCGCATTTCAATTACTTATAAATTTTTATTTCATAGGTAATTTGAAATGTATGACCAAACCTATTAAATAAACCGGTATTTTTTTTAAAATAAAGTTCATACTTTGACAAATAAAACCACCAATCTTTTTCTTTATCTTTTAATTGGAAAAATGTTGATATCTTTTTATTGAATTAAAACATTAATCGCATACTGATTTTATTATCGAGTTGTTTGTGAATGTTTATATTAAAAAGAAAACCGACGTCATGAAGCCACAAATTTGTTTTGTTTTCTTTCAAAATATTATTCTTATTCACCTATTCTAACAATATGTAGTAAATATCCAATAAGTTAATTTGTACTGTACTACTATTTGGAATCCAATAACTTTGTATGAAGGTTGAATTCAATCAGTATGAATTGCTAGGGGCAGAGCAGTACTAGAATAATAATTTTTGTTTAAAGTAATTCTATGTTGTGAGTAGTAATCCATATTAATCCATAGTAATACACACTTACGTAAATTCTAACAGCAATGCAATGACGTTTCATGTGTACGTTGTGTATGACATTTGCTAGGCATAAGGCGATCGCCGTATATTTCGGATAAGACATTTTATTGTTAAAAAATGGAAAATATCGAATTAAATTTAATAAATATCGAATAAATTGTTTCAATCCGCAATATACGGATCGCTTTATTCCTAACAAATGTAATACACATCGTATACATAAAACGTCATTGCATTGCTGTTAGAATTTACACAAGTGTGTATTACTGCGGATTAATATGGATTACTACTCACAACTTGTTCAATCCATTCTTGAATATGGCAGTATGGTATGGCTTCCGTATCATGGTATACACAAGAACAAAATCGAATCGTGCCTGCGTCAATTCACAATGTTTGCACTCAGGGAGTATCCAAACATTTCAAATGATTTCAAAATTTCATCGTACATTACTCGTCTGGACAAACTTAATATGCAGTCACTTCAACGGCGCCGCATAAATGCATCAATTTTATTTATGTTCGACTTGCTGCATAATAACATTCACTGCCCATCACTGAAGTCGGAAATCTCTCGCAATCAAAATGAACGCAATTTGAGAAGTGTCGAGTACTTCAAAATCAACGACAAATTCTTAAGAATAAATCCATCTGTACCTCTCAATCAAATGTGCAAAATGTCAAACAAAGTGCACGAACTGTTTTCAACGCAACCAAAAAGATCAACTTTCAAAAACCGACTCTTAGCCTTAAGCGATGAACATTTTTCAAGCTTGTCAATGATATCTAATCATAATACTGTTTTCTTAAACGATTTAATGTGATATTCTTTTATATACTTTATTTATTTATTTTTTTGACTCATTGTATTCTGGTGCAACATGAATATCAACTATTTAATTATTTATTCATATATTTATTGAATTTTATTCTTAATTCTGAAAAGATGTGGTTTTTAACGGTGATCAAATGTGCCACACATTAATGATTCATACCTTTTTCCCACCATACATGTATAACAAATTATGTACACACTCAAACATGATTCAGCCAGTTTTGGCGGTGAATAAATATTATTATAACATAGAATTACTTTAAACAAAAATTATTATTCTAGTACTGCTCTGCCCCTAGATGAATTGTTATACTGTGCTTATAATCAGCTCAATTCCACAGTATAAAAATGTCGTTTTTCGGTGATCTTAAATTCGTGTATGGATTTTTTTATATTTTTGGCCAATCCTCATATTGTCCTTCTCTGGACAGAAATAAACTTGGAATGAAACACTTAATACGCATTCCATTTGTGTTATTTGTGGCAAATGTAATGTTGTGTTCATTAATATACATTCGATTCGGTTATTATCCAGTCAAAAGATCACATGGTATCTTTCTGTTCGCAATAAAATTCATAAGTTTTTTTCCCACTTATGTGATCATTTACTTAAATCTATTCGAAGAAAAGTTTAATGTTCGGAAAATGAATGAAAGCATATTTTTGCTGTGTGATTTTTTCAAAATAAAATTGAAAACAAGTTTGCAAGTGTATCACGGGGGACGGCAGTCCCCCAAGTGACGCAATACCAACATACATATACACTAGGGTGGGTCAATTTGTAGGGGACCGAAAAAGTCGATGTAGCGCAGTGTTATTTGGATCATTTTAAGAACTTTTGCCCAAGGAACCATAACA